TTTTCCTGTTGGTGCGTTATTGCAAGAGAAACTATCGTTTTATTTTTTATCTCTTTATATACAAATATAATTCCATTAACAAATACATTATTTTAGTCCAAGTAAAGTTTTCTAGAGGACGAAAAGCATTATTATAAATTTTTTCCACCTTAATATTTATACCTTCTAAATAATAGTGGTATTTCTGCCGTATTCTTTACATATATATATATATATATATATATATATATATATATAATTATTATTATTATTATTATTATTATATGTTTCGCAGATAAAATAAAATAAAAAATAACAACTTACAACAAAAGTTGTTAAAACTGCGCGACAAAATATATATAAAAAAAAAAAACAATTTCGCCCCACCCCTTTTTAATCCGTCCCACCCCAAGAGCAGAGAAGGAAATCGAAACATAGATGCGGTGAGAATAGAAGGAACTATAATAAAAGAAAGAAAAGAAAAGAAATCCAAGAAGGTTGGGGGGGAGAAATTCATTGATTACCCACCTCCCCACCCACAAAGACACACTTACACCCTTCTCCCACCCGGCAAGATCTTCTTTCATTTCTAAATCGGGAGGACTCATGACGATGTGATTAGGTACTTGTAATTGTTCAAACAAGAAAATTAACAGAAAAAAAAAATTGCTGCTGGGTTAGGAGATGGTAGCAAAGGGACACGTGACCTCGCTAGCATCCCTGCTATACAAGTAATGATTTTTAGCCTACCAGATCGGGTCATTAGAACGATACCGGCACCGCCCTTCCTCTTCCCACCCGTGCCGATTCGTGACCTGATGAATAGATTACTAGGCACCCTCCATGCATTAAACTCTAAGACTGATTTTCTTGGTGGGAACTTTAATATTGTCTTTTGTGTACGGATAGGAAAAAACAAGTTAAGATGAGGCATGAATCTACTTTCCCTACTCACTGGAAGGACGATTATTCTTCTCTTTTTTCTTCTTCTTGTTATTTTTTATTTTATTACGGCAATGTTCATACTTTACAAGGCTCGGAGGCCACTCGAGGTAGAGGGCTACGTTAGGAAGCAATGAAGTGCGGATACGAGTGGAAGATAGTGGTTACCCCTAGCCCTGAACAAGTTATGATTGTAGTGATCGGGAAAGCATTCTCTTGGGAGTGTGTTCCATAGGGCAACTGTTCGCGGAAAGAAGCTGTTCGAGTGGAACTTATGTGTGTGTGTGTGTGTGTGTGTGTGTGTGTGCGCGCGCAAATATATAGAAAAATAGGAAAGAACACGTTAGGTAAATAATCCGAAGTTCTTGAGTATTTATGTTTTTATTTTTTAAAAAACAGTACTCAATACAAAAGTAGAGCCTAAATTATAATAATAATTATTTTTTTTAAAATATGATTCCTTCGCTACATAAGAGTTCACATGTTTCAAAAACACGAGGCAAAAGCTCTGTTTCATCCTCAAGTGAATCTTTTTGGAATGAAACAGTTTTTGGCTCTCGTTTTTGAAACATGAGAACTCATATGCAGCAAAGGAATCATATTTTTTAGAAAAATAATTATAATCTTAAAAAGTAATTTAAAAAATAATTATAATTACATATATATATATATATATATATATATATATATATATATATATATATATATATATAATGTATTAACTTATGATAGAAAAGGTAGTTTAAATGCATGATATATTTATTGGGTAAAAATGTCTTTTCTTATCTTTTATATTCTTTTTGTTTTTATTCTTTCTTTTCCCGTTATTTTTTTTTCACTATATCATTTTCGTAATTTTTAATTTTTTTGTCTGTTTCTTCTTTTTAACTTTTTCAAATATCTCTGGCTTTTTAATATTGTTTGTGGTTTTCATGCTTTTTTCGCTTTGTATCATTTTTTTAATCGGAATCATCCCAAGCAAGGCTATAAAGCCATTAAGACACAAGGGGTTACAGGGTGTGGAATAATTAGTAACAGAAACATTAATAATGAGCGTGAAGTGGAAAGAGTAATCAATTATATTGAGGTTTTCGGCTCTCGTTTTTGAAACATGAGAACTCTTATGTAGCGAAGGAATCATATTTTTTAAATAATTATAATACATATATATATAATTATAATACATACATACATATATATATATATATATATATATATATATATATATATATATATATATATATATATATCACGGCTTGAACTGGCTTCAAATGCTCCGGATGGAACGGCTTGGGGATAGAAGACGTAACTCATGGGGGCATAGTCCGTTGGTATAAGTAGACTCGGATGAGTCACACGACGAAATTTGTAAAGAGCTGGCGCTATATCGAGTCTGGTTCGTAACTGTGCAGGTTCGATTTTCGGCAGCGGATGTGCACTGCTGATGAGTTCCCAAAATAGGACGAAATGGCCGTCGAGTGCTTTTTGTATTCTATTGAGGATTCTTCTAGACTCGATGAATTAATTATATATATATATATATATATATATATGATAGAATAATAGTAACATCTACAGATACGTAAAATTACGTGATTTAACGTATATCATGGTGAATTGTTGGTCAATAAATTGCTCAATATCTATCGAGAGCAACAATTATTGTATCAATTGAAAGTTCAAAATACAGTGTAACCCGGATATTAGAGACCCTGATATAAGAGAAACCCGGATATAAGAGAGATTTTCTCTGGTCCCAAATTAGAGCCCATACTTACCTAAACAAAATAGACCAAACCCGGATATAAGAGAAACCCGGATATAAGAGTCTTCTTCTCCCGGTCCTGACAACTCTCTTATATCCGGGTTACACTGTACGTATCGAAGAACAACTTAAGAGTTTCGCTATCCAAAGCTATTCAGTACTTAAACCAGCTGCAATGAGAAGAAAGATGGCGAAACTCTGATTCGATCCTACATAAATATTGGACTTCAATATTCTAAAATAATAATATATATATATATATATATATATATATATATATATATATATATGAATTGCAATCGCTCTTTTTTTTTTCTCTCTCTCTCTCTATCTCTCTCTCTCTACATCATATATATATATATATATATGATGTGAGATAACGATGTATATTCTATATAACATTACTGAGGAAATTGTAAGACAAAATGAAAAATGTTTATTTGTTACGCGTTTCATTCGTTATAACTTCATCTAACTGTTTTTTTGATGAAGTCCTAACCGATAAAACGAGCCACAAATAACCTTTTCTTTCATTTTGTTTTATATATACATGCTGCGATGGGTAAATTTTCGCTGTTTCATCTTTTAGATTTCGAGCATGAGCGTTGTTTGATTTTGATTTTGTCGACTGTACAGTATAGTAGGGTCAGTTGGACAGTGAGAAAAAGAGTACCATGATGAATTCATTCCGCCACAAATTTGGAAACGGCATTCTGTACTACTTGGCTTTCGCACTGGAAGCTCTAATACAAATATTTCAGAGTTTTTGGCTGTCAATCTAGGGACAGTGAAGAGGATTCGGAAAGAGGTGTATGATATGTCGTCTCAACATCATGGGATTTGAAGAGATCACTAGTTATGGTGACATTATGTCACGATTCATCTTCCCGCAACAGGATTCTGCATCATACCATAAAATCATGGCTGTCAGACAATTTCTGCGATCACATCACCATTTACATCTGGCCACCTTACTCCCCATACTGCAAACCCTTTTATTATGAGGGATGAGCAGCAGTTGAGTAAGAGAGACAAACAAGACTTCTTGAAGAACTTAAATAAGAAAACCGTCCAGTTGAAGGAAATTTCGAAGTCATCTGGAGACCGTGTTTGAAGCCAATGGCGATTTTATTGAATAAATCTACTTTTTAGCAATTCTAGAGATTTATGTATAATTTTGTGTAAATATTTCTTTTAAAATGAGAAGCCAGTGTTGCTTAATTTAGGCCACAATATATCCATCGCACGCAAATATATATATATATATATAAGCAAGTGTAAATGGATATAAATCCGACAGAATGAAGAAAAATTTTGAAAAAACAAACAAAAATCCTTAAATGTAGTTAAAATGAAAGAAATGTCGACGTCTGAATTATTAAACCGAAACGTCAGACGTCGACATTTCTTTCATTTTAACTACATTTAAGGATTTTTGTTTGTTTTTCAAATTTTTTTCTTATATATATATATATATATATATATATATATATATATATATATATATGTGTCTGTTTGTGTGTGTGTATTTATTGAAATGAAGAGAAAGAACAGACAGATTAAGAATTCACAGTTCTTACCATTTAATTTTTTTTTAAAAGTTCTCAGTAGAACGTAGAGCAAAATATTATTATAGTTATATTATAATATTTTATTATAATATTTTACATCGCTACCCAAAAAATTCGATGTTTCGCCATTTAAAATTGTCCCTCATCAGGCGATGTTAGATAACTTATCTAACATCGCTTGATGAGGGAAAATATATATATATGTGTGTGTGTGTGTGTGTGTGTGTGTGTGTGTGTGTGTGTGTTTGTGTGTTTGTGTGTGTGTGTGTATATATATATATATATATATATATATATATATATATATATATATATATATATATATATATATTCCCATCTTGGCTTCTAGTCACTTCTAGTATAACAGTTTCTTTTCTCGCACTTCCGACCTGATAACTAGAATCTTCAAATATTTAAATGCAACGTCAATCGGCATCTTCTGTCTTCTTGAATCCCTTTCATCTTTTTTTTTTCTTTCCTCAATCCTCACTATTCTCTGTCCTTCTCTTTCACTTTTATCTCCTCTTCCTGTAACCTCCCGCACATTCCTGCCTTGCATGCAGAGAAATTATATATATATATATATATATATATATATATATATATATATATATAGAGAGAGAGAGAGAGAGAGAGAGAGAGAGGAGGAGGAAGGAGGAAGAGGCAAAAGAGGAAAAAAAATATGAATATATATATATATATATATATATATATATATATATATATATATATATATAACCAACTATACATAGATAAAAATTGCTAAAAGTAGATATGTAAATATAAAGATATAAGTGTACGTGCCGACAATGCAAAAGAGGAAATCATTACAAAAACATCGTTGGCGAGTGTTAATTGTTGAAGATGGCTGTATGAAAGTGTAGTTACATTATATGTGAGGAAAAACGCGGTCCTCGGGTTCAAAGGAAAAGTGGGTTTGGGTGATGGTCTATGGGATGAGGTGGTCGTGACGATAGGCTGCAGCGGTGGGAGACTAAGGCAGGTAGCAGGTATTTTGGGGTGTGAGGTAAACGAAGCAAAGGAATGCTGACAGCAACCGCGTCTAATGAGGGTCGTCATCAGAAAACTGCGATCATAATGGAAGGCTGTGATTGAAAGAAGATTAGGATTTGTAAGAGAGTGGACGCAAAGAAAGAAAGAAAGAAAGAAAGAAAGAAAGAAAGAAAGACATTGTAATAATAACAATGAACCAAATAAAAGAAAGAAAGAAAGAAAGAAAGAAAGAAAGAAAGAAAGAAAGAAAGAAAGAAAGAAAGAAAGAATGCATGGGACAAAATAGCGATGGCGAATAAAAGAAAGAAAGAAAGAAAGAAAGAAAGAAAGAAAGAAAGAAAGAAAGAAAGAAAGAAAGAAAGAATGCATGGGACAAAATAGCGATGGTTCGAATAAAAGAAAGAAAGAAAGAAAGAAAGAAAGAAAGAAAGAAAGAAAGAAAGAAAGGAGAATGGAAATAAAAAAATGGAAATAATAAAATGGAATTAGAGTTAAACGGTAAGGACTGAAGTTTAAATCAATATGGAATATTGGATCTAAAATAAAACGTGTGTTCTATGAACAAAGCTGTAGAATCAAGAAATGAAGGGCGGAAGAAAACAAGGAAGATGAAGGAGAGAGAAAAATCAGCAGAAACCACAACAAAAATAACAAAAGAAGAAGGAAAAGAAAAAAAATGGCTTCTTTGTCAAGACGAAAGGAGCCAAGAAAATGAATAAAAATTACTAAGGAGGGGGAAAATGTTTGTCAGGAACAAAAAAAAAACTCTCACTTCTTAACAAAAGCTTTGGTCGATTGATACTGGAACGATAATAGAGCTTAACTTTAATTAGAGAGCGTCGAAATTCTGACTTATTGACGCTCTACGGCAGTGATCGTGTTGCTGACGATGAAAAGAAACAGGTCAGCCAGTGAACGGAGCCCAAATTGAGTACACATTGACGCCCAGGACCAAATCATTACCTGCCTTTCTTGATGTTTCAGTTTCAGTTGTTGTTGTTGTTGTTGTTCTTGTTCTTCTTCTTCTTCTTCTTCTTCTTCTTCTTCTTCTTCTTCTTCTTTGTCCCCTTTTCGTTTTCTCTTTTTTGTTTTGATTCTTTTTTTCCTTCTTTTTTCCAAATCTCAATATTTCTCTGCTCTTTTCCAAACCTTTTTTTACTAGCCTACACCGCTTCCACGTCTTCCTCTTCCATCTTCTTCTTCTTCTTCTTCTTCTTCTTCTTCTTCTTCTTCTTCTTCTTCTTCTACGTTCTTTTTACGTTCTCTAACTTTTTCTTTCACTTTATTCCAAATATTCTTCTTTTTCCTCCTCCCCCTTTCACTGTTTCCTTAAAGTCCTTCCGCCCTTTTCTTACTTCTTCACTTTTCGTTTTAAACTTTCTTTTTAACAAATGGCTTACATTCTTTCTTCTTTCACTCATTCAAAACCTCGTTCTTTTATTCCTTCTTTCTTTCTATTTTGTATCTTACTCTGTCTTTCCCCCTTTTTTTTTTTCACCCGTATTTCTCTCTTTTGGAAGAAAAGTAACAAACGAAAATATATGAATGAGAAGGAAATAGAGGAGAAGGAAGAAAAGTAACTTCTTCTTTTCAACTTCTTTGTTTCTCATCTGATTCTGAGAGAAATCTATAATTTTTCTTTCTTTTTCTGTCTTTATTTCTCTTCCTATCTCGGGCTTTTATTTATTATCTTCTTCCTCAAAACGTCTTTCCTAGCTTCTTTTTTCTTTTCCTTATTTAAAAAAAATGTTTCCTTCTTCTTCGCCTGATTTCTTCTCTAATCTACTCCATTAATTCTACTTTCTCTTTCTTCTTCTTCTTCTTACACCTCTCCTAATTTCTTTTCATTGATACTTTCTTCTTCTTCTTCTTCTTCTTCTTCTTCTTCTTCTTCTTCTTCTTCTTCTTCTTACTCTTCTTCTTCTTTTTCTTCTTCTTTTTCTTCTTCTTCGTCATTCTTGTTACATTTCTTCAACATGTCTAATTCCTTCTCATTCATCCTTTCTTCTTCTTCTTCTTCTTCTTCTTCTTTTTTCTTCCTCTTACTCTTCTTCTTCTTTTTCTTTTTCTTCTTTTTCTTCTTCTTCTTTTTCTTCTTCTTCTTCTTCTTCTTCGTCATTCCTGTTACATTTCTTCAACTTTTCTAATTCATTCTCATTCATCCTTTCTTCTTCTTCTTCTTCTTCTTCTTTTTCTTCTTCCTCTTACTGTTCTTCTTCTTCTTCTTCTTAATCACTTCTTCTTTTTCTTCTTCTTCTTACTCTTCTTCTTCTTTTTCTCCCTCATCTTCTTTTTCTTCTTCTTCGTCATTCTTGTTACATTTCTTCAACATGTCTAATTCCTTCTCATTCATCCTTTCTTCTTCTTCTTCTTCTTCTTTTTTCCTTTTTCTTCTTCCTCTTACTCTTCTTTTTCTTTTTCTTCTTTTTCTTCTTTTTCTTCTTCTTCTTTTTCTTCTTCTTCTTCTTCGTCATTCCTGTTACATTTCTTCAACTTTTCTAATTCCTTCTCATTCATCCTTTCTTCTTCTTCTTCTTCTTCTTCTTCTTCTTCTTCTTTTTCTTCTTCCTCTTACTGTTCTTTTTATTCTTCTTCTTTTTCTTCTTCTTCTTACTTTTCTTCTTCTTTTTCTCCCTCATCTTCTTTTTCTTCTTCTTCGTCATTCTTGTTACATTTCTTCAACTTTTCTTATTCCTTCTCATTCATCCTTTCTTCTTCTTTTTAACAGAACGTAAAACTGAAAGAAAGCCATTAAACAAATCATTTTTCAGTAAACAAGTTGACTGTTCGTCGCACTCGTTCCTCTGCATGCTTCTACGCCAATATCAAACCAACAACATCGCAATCTTCCTCATACCCAACCCTACGCTACCCATCCACAATCCACCACCATCACCACCTAAAAAAAAAAAAAAAAAAAAACAATAACAGCTTGCACTCGGGGCCATATTGTCTCTCATTCTGATCGACCGAGGCCCTCACCGTCATTTTTCTTTCATTAAATAAGTCTATCGTTTTACTTCGAAGCCCGAACGTAAGATGAGTTCAGACGAGGCCTTGTACTGGATAACAAAGCCACTTATTGTGTCGATTTAATTTTTATTGAAAAACTACTTACAATACCGTAACGAGCAAACAACGAGCAAAATGTGTATCGTTGTGTGAATCAGAATTGTTTATCTTGTGGATAGCTACAAATCTTGATTCCATTGAATGACTCAAGATTATATGCTAAACCGGAAGTAGACTTGCTAATTATTGATATTCTTATTTTGATTTCTGTTGGATATTCATTTCCTTCCAGATCCCCACCAGAGAATTAAGGTCAAGAATAGCATTATTATATTTCCCACTGTTCATTTTTCTAAAAAGAAGAAACAGGCAACCTAAGCCTACACGCATTTTACAAAGATAACGTCCTTCATAAGGTGTGAGCTTCACTTCTGAGTACATTTCTTGGACAGGTTTAACCTTCCTTTATTCTTGTTTGTTTGTTTTTTATCCACTCTGCATTAAGATTATATTCCTTTGGGTTGCTCCAAATATTCTCTCAAAATGTTTGCACTTCTTCAATATATGGTGGCTTGTTGACTTCTTTATTATTATTACCGTTATTGTTATTATTATTATTATTATCATTATTATTATTATTATTACATCATTATTATTATTATTATTATTATTATTATGCAGGAAAACTGAATGCATGGTTGTTAGCAAAAAGGAACAGCCCAAAATGCAAATTGCAAATTGGAAAATACCGAAATCAAATAGGCGCAAAAATTTAGATATCTTGGAAGTGTACACTATTTACATTATTCGGACTTTATCGCTATGTTTATCACAACGTTTCGGCCGTTGTACGCTCCGGACTTCTTCAGGTGGTTGGAATGTCGAATTGAACTCTTTATTGCGCTCCATGGGGTAGACTGTTCCAGTTCCACGTGCCATGCCAAATGGATGTCAGTTATCACCTGTTAAGTTCTCCACTGCATTAACCAGATATTGAACTCACACCCTTTGGGTAATGTCAATGGATCTAACTAACACCATTATCTACTGTGCCATGTGTCCTTGAGGACATCTGTGTATAAATTTCTGGGTCTTCAACAACCATTTTTTACTAGTGCTCATATTGCAATTTTTGCTGTTATCTTTGCATGTTTTTTTACCAGAGCAATTTTTTTTGTTATTATTGCTTTTCTCTGGCATTCCTTATTACTGGTTCCCATATTGTATTCATTTCTATGCTTGGTCGGCTCAGGAGATTTTTGCGACCGAGCATATCTTGGAAGCGTATTAACAGAGGATGGAAATTCGAAAGGCGCATTGGGTTAGCGAAAAATGCCTTCCAAAAGCTGAGCAAAATATTAGGAAATGTTAGAAACAAAGATAAGAATACGTAACTATTATATAGCATCAGTTCTTCTACATGGCAATGAATGCTGCACAATCTCATCACAGATGTAGAATAGGCTTGAAGCAACAGAAATGTAGTTATACAGAAGGATGCTGGGAATACCATGGACCGAAGTTGTGAGCAGCAAGGAATTTCTAGAGATAATGGCTAGAAAAAGGACACATACTTAACATCAGGAAGCTACAGTTGAAATATCTGGGTCACATAAAGAGGAAAGAGGACTTGGAAATTTTGATACTCACAGGAGAGATTGAATATAATAGAGCCAGAAGAAAGCACCACAAAAAGACGAAAATTATTAAAAGCTACAAAGAACCGGAAATTGTGGCGAGCCATGATCGCCAAAGTCTTGAAGGTACATGGCACTTAGATGAAGAAGGCTTGAGAGAAAAACAGTCTTCACAACCGCTTCCACTTTTCGCAGTATTCAAAAGTACTAAATAGAATTCGTCTTAGAAAATTAAAAAAAGAATGAATATTCTCTACTTTGCGATATTACCCGACGATCAATCAATGTTGTCTTGTTGAATAATTTGAAAGAAGAAGAAAGTAAAAATGAGAAGGAAGTAGGAGGAGGTTGGAAAAAGTAACAGAGAAGAAAGAAAACTAAGAGGAGGAAGAAGAATGTGTAAAAGAGAAGAAGAAGACACGGAAGAAGAAGAAGACTCGGAAGAAGAAGAAGACTCGGAAGAAGAGGAAGAAGAAAAAGACTCGGAAGAAGAAGAAGACTCGGAAGAAGAAGAAGAAGACTCGGAAGAAGACTCGGAAGAAGAAGAAGAAGACTCGGAAGAAGACTCGGAAGAAGAAGAAGAAGAAGAAGAAGAAGAAGAAGAAGAAGAAGAAGAAGAAGAAGACTCGGAAGAAGACTCGGAAGAAGACTCGGAAGAAGGAGAAGAAGAAGAAGACTCGGAAGAAGAAGAAGAAGAAGAAGAAGAAGAAGAAGAAGAAGAAGACTCGGAAGAAGAAGAAGAAGAAGAAGAAGAAGAAGAAGAAGAAGAAGAAGTAGTTTTCTCAGGCGATGGTAGATAAATTGTGATAAAAATGATTTATTAGGGAAATTAAAAAAACAAATCGTTACCTCCTTTCTGAAGTTTAAGTGGGGAAGCATAATCTTCGAATTAAAAATGTCTAGATTAACCAATGAACGTCAGATCTACGCTAAAACATAAAAATAAGTTCAGTGGTGGAGGTGGGTGGATTATTTTTACATGTCAAGAAAATTGAATCTTAGTGACGTCATCCAACGATACTAGGGAACATTTCAGTGACAAACGTATTATGGATGTATCCAAGTATGATTTGCCGATTTGTTAAAGTAGACATAAAGTTATCAGAAACAATTTTTTTAGAAAAACTTTCCTATACTTAGGAAGCTTCTTAAAGAGGACAATAGGTAAAATTAAAAATGTGGAAACATCTGTATACGTTGCTAATTATCCTGAATAGACAGCAATATTAAAGTTGAATAAATGAAGGTGGTGTGGAACATTATATACTAATAAAATAATGGCTATACAATTATAATACGTAATTATTTATGAAAAAAGAAATTAACTGTATTTTAAGGTAAAAGGTAGACAATGCCAGCATAACACCGTTAATTCATTTCTTTGGTTTAACAGATCTTTATAATTAGAAAACTTTATAATATGCATTTTTTCTTGTAAACGTAGGAAACATGGATCTCATAAGGATTTACAAGTTCTAGTTATATTTAATATTTTCCATTTTACCGTAGGAGTTTTGTGAACTTCTTTTAAGTGCCAAAAATATTTAGAAACGAACGTTCTATTAAGGTACGCATTGTTGTTGAAAGATATGTGTTGATACCAGCTTGTTTTAAAGGAATTTTTGGTACTAGCGATATAAAAATTTTTAACAGTTGGATTTTCTCTAGATAAAATAGTACTTAGGTAAAGAAGGGAATCTGTTTGACACCTATTTTGTAATGGAGAGTCGTTAGGATTTCTACAATTACAGAAGTTGGTATCATTATTGTTTGTTGCTTTGGAAAGGCTATTTAGGTTTAAGTGTTGATTTAAAATTTTATTATTGTGTTTTTTAATATTTTTTCCAGCTTATCAGTATAACTATAGCTTAATTTCAGTGTATTTTTATTTAAAAAATCTTATAAGAGGATTATTTCTGGAGAAGTGTTTCTGAATTAAATTGAGAAATTTCTGTCTTAACTTAGTAGTAACCATTTGGTTAAATGGGGGGGGGGTACCAAATGATTTTTCTGTTTCTATTTTTTCTTACTAGCACTGTTATGATTGCTATCTATAATGTCAGTGCACTTATAGCCACTATTTTTAAGGCATTGTTGTAAAATTTGCCTTGTTTATAAAATACACTTCACTGGAAAAGTTATAAATAATTCTATGTTCTATGGAGGAGGGCATGTGTTTTTATTATGGATGGAGGGAGATTTGAATTTGGGTGTATATATAATGGATTTGCATTAATTTTCATGTAGGGTTGGTATGTATTATTGACTAAGTCTAGTGTTACATCGAGGAAATCTACATTTTTAAATTTGTGTTGATTTTAACTTTTAGGTTTAGACTTTTAAATTCCTTATGTATTAATTTCCAGATTTTGTCAGTTTTAATTTTTGTAGAAATTTTCACCACCATAAGGCCGTTATCTCTATATAAACCTATGTCTTCTATGTTGATATCATGGTGGGCACTAAGGTTATATAAAATGAATAAACCAACAAGGTCGGAAGACTCGGCCATGTCTAACGACTCCATTGCAATATCAAATTGGTCAACTGGATTATTTTTTATCCATTGTTCTGTGTTATGGATAAGGACAGATTTTCTAGAGTTCATAATAATGTCCAGCTCCTTGTTTAAATGATTGAAGTACTCGGTGTCGAATTCCAAAGCCATTGTAAAGAGATTGAGAGGTAGTAATCCACAATATCAAACTGGATCAATAAAAAATTAGTTTTATCATTTATATTATTAAACCAATTGATGACATCAGTAACATTTATCCATTGTAGCAGTCCAAGGCACTTTTTAATCAGCTTGTTGACTCTATCGAGGATAATCTTGCTAATTTTACCAATTTCTGGCCTAGTAGGGTTGATGATTCTGATGGGAAGATTAGCTTCAAGATTTGGTTTATGGTCCTTGTTTATTATATATGATTCTTAGTACTGCAACATGATACTGTTTGTGTAGCGATATAAAATGTTTTTTTTTTTTTTTAATAATATATAATATATATATATATATATATATATATATATATATATATATATATATATATATATATATATATATATATATATATACTATGTATGAAAGTTTAATTCTCCGAATGTCCGTAGATAGTAACTAGCGTAATCAGTCAGGGAAATCATTTGTACCTGTTTATGTTCCGAGTTTTTCAGACTAAGATGAGATAAGTCATTCGTTGGCGAGCAGTAGAGGAAGTTGTGAGTGTGCATGTTATAGAGCTGGCGAAAAATGAATTAAAAGGATTGGAAGTAGCTGATCTATGTCAATTTTTTGTCAAAGTTCTATTAGAAATAGCTTATTATGAACATGCTACGATGAAATTGTGTGTTACATTTTTCTGAATCAACCCTCCTGCTTTTTTTCTATTTCCCTCTATCTACTCTAAGTGTTAATTCTATTCTCGTTTAATCTCAGATTTTTATTTTGTTCATATTTTATTTTCTTGATTTATTCTATTCTTCAATTCTTCTACTTTTCTAATTCCATTCCTCCAATATGTTTTTTTTATTCCAACTCTATTTAATCTATTCTAATCTTATTCTGTTATTCTTTCTTTATTCTTCCTCGTTTCTAGTCAAGATACTTCACTGATGGCCCGTTTCATATTCGCAATTCACCCATTACATACCCATCTTTTCTCTCTCTTTTTCCTATCTCATAGCGTCTCGCAATTCCTTCCTTCCAGCCTTCAAATTATTTTAATTGCAATATCATTTGCAATCGTTTTTCTAGAAAGAAAAATAAAGGCCCCATTATTTATCATTTTTTTCCCTCTTTTCAATGAATACGTGGGTGTTTTCCCAAACTCCACCCCCACCAACAGATTTTGCGCCGTTAGTCATCGAAATAAAAGTCATCCTCCATTTTGCTATTTGTCGCCTGCCGCAATTGCACGCCGCAAGCCACGTGACCATTGTTTCCGGAAAAGAAAGTGTCAAATGAAAACCAACTTTGGCGCACAATGCTTTTTTGTTCAAGCCACGCGCCGTCAGTGCTCGCAAGCTGTTATCAGTTTTTAGATATTTATTTTATTGACTGAGATTTAGTTTTTGAATGCCCCATTATTTAAAACAACATCTCTCTTTTATTTTTTCCCCTATCACATTATTCCTCTTTTCAATGAATACATGGTTTTTTCCCTCAATTCCTTTTCTCTCTCCCCCATCACATTATTCCCTCCTCTCCCCCCCCATCAGATTTTTCCCGCTCTCTAGTCATCGAAATCCCTCTCATCTATCCATTATTCCCTTTGTCTCCTCTCTCCCCTATCACATTATTTCCTCTCTCTCTCAAGCCACGTGACCATTGTTTCATTATTCCCCTCTCCTCTCTCCCTCAAATCACAAACCATTCCCTTTCCCGCATCACATTATATTTTTTTTCCCTCTTCCCTCCATCACATTACGCTTTCCAGTGCTCCCAATCACTGTTATTCCTTCCCCTCTTTAGATCATTTATTTTTATTGACTGATTATTCCCTATCACATCCTCTCTCTCCCTTTTCTCTGATCACATTATTCCCTTTTCCCTCTGCTATCACATTATCTCTCTAAAACATTACATCTCTCCCTCTATTTATTCCCTTTCCTCTCTCTCTCCCTCCCTATCACATTTCCTTCCCTCTCCCTCTATCACATTATTCCCTTTCCTCTCTCTCCCCCTATCACATTATTCCCTTTCCTCTCTCTCTCCCCCATCACATTATTCCTTCCTCTCTCTCCCTCATCACATTATTCCCTTCCCTCTCTTCCCTATCACTCTCTCTCCCTCTATCACATTATTCCTCTCTCCCCTATCACATTATTCCCTTCCCTCTCTCTCCCTCTATCACATTATTCCCTTCTCTCTCTCTCCCATTATTCCCCCCTCTCTCTCCTCTCATCACATTATTCTCTCTCTCCCTCTATCCATTATTCTCTCTCTCTCCCCTCTATCATTATTCCCTTTCTCTCTCTCTCTATCACATTATTCCCCCCTCTCTCTCTCTCTCTATCACATTATTATTCTCTCTCCCCCTCACATTATTATTCTCTCCCTCTATCACATTATTCCCTTTCCTCTCTCTCTCCCTCTATCACATTATTCCTTCCTCTCTCTCCCTCCCTATCACATTATTCCCTTTCCTCTCTCTCTCCCTCTATCACATTATTCCCTTTCCTCTCTCATCACATTATTCCCTTTCCCCCATCACATTATTCCCTCCTCTCTCTCTCCCTCTATCACATTATTCCCTTTCCTCTCTCTCTCCCTCTATCACATTATTCCCTCTCTCTCTCCCTCTATCACATTATTCCCTTTCCCTCTCTCTCCCTCTATCACATTATTCCCTTTCCTCTCTCTCTCCCTCTATCACATTATTCCCTTTCTCTCTCTCCCTCTATCACATTATTCCCTTTCCTCTCTCTCCTATCACATTATTCCTCTCTCTATCACATTATTCCCTTTCCTCTCTCTCTCCCTCTATCACATTATTCCTCTCCTCTCTCTCCCTCTATCACATTATTCCCTTCCCCTCTCTTCCCCTATCACATTATTCCCTTCACATTATTCCCTTTCTCTCTCTCTATCACATTATTCCTTCCTCTCTCATCACATTATTCCCCTCCCTCTACATTATTCCCTTTCCTCTCTCTCTCCCTCATCACATTATTCCCTCTTCCTCTATCATTATTCCTTTCCCTCTCTCCCTCTATCACATTATTCTTTTCTCTTTCCCTCTATCTCCTTCCCTCTCTCTCCCTCTATTTCTCTCTCTCCTCTATCACATTATTCCTTCCCTCTCTCTCCCCATCACATTATTCCCTCTCTCCAGTCTGTATCATTATTCCTCTCTATCTATCTATCCCTTTATCTATCTATCTATCTTTTCCTATCTATCTATCTATCTATCATTATCTCTCTCTCTCCCTCTATCACATTATTCCCTTCCCTCTCTCCCTCTATTCCTCTCTCTATCTATCTATCTATCCATCTATCTATCTCTGTTCTATTTTGTTCCCTGTATCTATCTCCAGTCTGTTCTATCTATCTATCTATCTATCTATCTATTATCTATCTATTTGAATATCTATCTATCTATCTATCTATCTATCTATCTATCTATCTATCTTATTCTTATTCTATTATCTATATCTATCTATCTATCTTATTCTTTGAATATCTATCTATCTATCTATCTTATTCTTTGAATATCTATCTATCTATCTATCTATCTATCCCAGTCTCTTCATTCTATCTATCTATCTATCTAGACTGATTTCAGTGTCGAAGAAAATTAAACAGGGATAGCAACACCAACAGATGTATAACCGCTAACCGTAAGCCTAACACACTAAAATAATGTTTATATTAATAAGAAATACTATAGTTTACGAAAATCCCCTAAAATAAACTCATATCATTATATGTAATTATATATCGAGCTAGCTAATTCAGCGTTAGTAGATCTCAACTTGTTTCAGTCTATCTGAGTTTAATATATTATGTATTTAGATGCGCTCATGTCATATCTATCTATCTATCTATCTATCTATCTATCTATCGCAATCTGTTCACATCTATCTATCTATCTATCTATCTATCTATCTATCTATCTATCTATCGCAGTCTGTTCACAACTATCTATTTATCTTTTGCAGTGTGTTCACATCGATCTTTCTAGCTCGGTTTGTAAATATCTATCTATCTATCTGTCTGTCTATCTATCTATCTCATTCTGTACATATCAATCTATCTCATTCTGTACATTATCTATCACAGTCAGTTCACATATATCTACCTATCTATCTATTACTATATCGCAATCTGTTCACATTTATCTATCACCGTCTGTTCACATCTATCTATCTATTGCAGTCTGTACATATCTATCTATCTATCTATCTATCTATCTATCTATCTATCTATCTACCGCAGTCTGTTCAAAGTTTTATAACTATCAGCGTTTGTTCACATCTATAAATCTATCTCTCCATCTATCTATCTTATTGATGTGGGGCCAAAGTCGGGACCACAAAAGGAAAACACGGAACACGGATTAGATGTAAGAAAGATATATTAACAGCAGGTTACAGATATAGTGTAAGCGGAGCTTACTATATGTTAGTGTCCAATACTGGTAGTCATACGCGGCTCTCTCCGACTCTCTGTGTCTAGAGTGTTGTGTTGCATACATAAGTTTATAGTAGTTCCAACGAGAGAAAAGTGTGTATAATAAAAAGAAGAGAGAAACCAGAAACGTTTTTAGTTGTAATGCGGATTTTTTTTTAAATATATGTTTTATTTTCCATAATTTTGCTACACGTGTTTCCGGTCTCGCGATCTTCATTAGGCATAGAGTGGATATTTCGACATATTATTAAAAGGAATTAATTTTTCTTATGCTTTTCGATGTTACATATTCTCGATGTTAGACATTCTCTTTACCCAAATGTCTTACTTGAACTGACAGTGAAAAAGTTCTGCGTGAAGGGTAATAAAACAATTAAGATTGGTCCGAGAAAGGGTGAGAAAGATATCTATAGTCTTATCTTTTAATAACGTCTCTGTGTTCTTAGATCTATTTCCATTTTTGTGTGTGTGTGTGGTTTTGTCATCATATGTATCCATACATATATTCCCTCTTCATATATACATACTGTCTTATTATAAGTAATTAGTATACACATACATACATACACATATATATCCATATATACATACATACATACACACAGATATATATCCATATATACATACATACACACACACACACACTTCGCATGTTGTGTAGGGTTTGCACGCGTGCCTCTCTGACTCTCAGTGTCTCTCAGTATAGAGTGTTGTTTCGCATACTTAATATAGACCTGGAAGAGTCTATTGTGTAGGTAGTTACGGTCTCACAATACCCACCTTCCAAGAGTTTTCTTTTTGAAAAGGAGAGAAAAAATTAAACTTTTAATACTTTTTCCTCTTTGGATATACGTCGAGCGGTTGAGTAAATTTCCTTTTCCTTCCTGAACGTCCCACTTCAGGAGAGACTTGGGGGCATGTCGAGATCGAACTAAAGATCTTGATGCGTGAGCCACAGCTTTTCTCGAACCATCTGGCAGTTTATGTAAAATGCAAGCACCAATGCCGTACGAGCTTGCATCACTTGCGACTATGATGTCGAGACTAGAGTCGTCATGGGTAAAGAGAGGTCTGAAGTAAGAGTTTTCTTGATCTTCTCGAATGCGTCTTGGCATTCCGGGGTCCATGACCATGGTTTGTCCTTTTTTAAAAGTTGGTTGAGAGGCCCTCTCAAATTTTGCATGTTCTTAATGAACCCTTGGTAAAAGTTAGCTAGGCCGAGGAAGCTTTGTAACGCTTGAACGTTATCTGGGGCTGGCATGTTTCTGATCGCGTTGGCTCTTTCTGGATCCGGCCGACGACCGTCTTTATTTATGACGTGCCCTAAGTAAGAAAAAGTATGGTAACAAAAAGTCACACTTTTCCTCCTTAACTTTAAATCCGTATTCTTGTATCTTTTCGAATACGTTTATTATATGGTTCCGGTGCTCTGTCGTAGTTTTACTAGTAACCAGTATATCATCCAAATAGGCTGTTGCGTAGTCAATGTCACCCATCATGGTGTCCATGATCTGCTGGAAAATTGCAGGCGCAACCTTTACTCCAAAAGCCAGTCTATTGTATTTGTACAACCCTCTATGGTTGTTTATGCAGAGCACTTTGGAACTTTCTTCTTCCACCTCTATCTGAAGGTATGCGTCCGAGAGGTCAAGTTTAATAAAAAATTTTCCACCATTGAGTTTATTGAAAATTTCTTCAGGGCTTGGGAGAGGATAGTGGTGATCTTGCAAAGCGTCGTTTAAACCTGCGGAAAAATCTGCGCATACTCGTATTTGATTGGACTTCTTTTTCACGTAAACCGTAGGTGCTGCCCACTCGCTGAAATTTGTTTTTGACAGAATACCTGCTTGTTCGAGTCTATCTAACTCTTTGTTGATTTGCTCTAGAGCAGCGAAAGGGACATTTCGTTTCTTTTTGAATACCGGTTGTGCACCGTCCTTCACCTTGAATTTAGCTTTCATGTTAGTACATTTCCCAAGGCCGCCAGAAAAAACCTGGGGAAATTGTTGTTTAAATTCCTTTTTGAGATTTACCAAATTGGACGCTGTACTTTGTATCTTGCGACAAAATGTACTCATTGGGCAAACCCAAAGATTGAATTTTTCTATCCAATCTGTTCCAAATAAGTTATCTGAAGTTTTCAATACGTAGGCTTTGAGCTTTTTGGTAACACTATTTAGTTTTACTGTAAGTATTACCTCACCTAATATGTTAATCTTTTCGCCAGTTACGGATTTTGCTGTTTTATCCGTTTTTAATAATGTCGGCTTGTTTAATTTTCGCCAAGTACGCCAGTTAATGGTTGAAAGATCAGAACCCACGTCAAGCTGGTATTTAATGGACTTATTGAAAATATCCACAGTTACATATTTTCTTAAATTCCTATCGGCAATATCGTCAGATTCAGCTTGCCTAATTTTATTTTTGGGTTTTCTCGTTCTGTTGGCGTACCAGCACGAAGTTAAAGTATGCCCACTTTTATTGCAATTTTTGCAATATTTTTTGTTCTTAACTGGACAGAATTTCATCCAATGTCATTTACCACAATGGTAACATGGTCCGGGCGGTTTCTTTAACCTATTTGAGTTTTGGTTTAAAATCATTACAGAGCTTGTTTACCGATGCTGCAAACGTTAGAAAATCTTGCTGGTTGTTTTTGACTTTGTTCAGGCATTTCCAACGTTTGTGAAACAAAGTTGTGTTAGGCCCGAATAGTTCCGATAGGAGCTTAATAGTCTCTGAAAAATCCAAGTCAGTGGTTTTCTTGGGTAGTATGAAGTCTACGAACCTACTATGTTCTGTAGTTTCCAGTTTTCTCAATAATAGACGTACCAATTTTTTACTGGTCCATTGTTCACAGTCTACGTTGAAAATATCTTCGTAGCGCCTGTAAAAAGACTCGAACGTTTTGTCGTTTTCTGGTACGTATTCAAATGTTTCCATTGAATTGTAGATTGTACTCTGGGAGAATATTGTATCTTTTTCAGAGTTTGAGCCTTTTAATGCATTTACGAGTAATTCTTTAAGTTGTTTCTGCTGTAGTTCAGCATTCTGAAGCGTAATTTTTTGGTATTCCATTTCTTGTTTATGTAATTCCAAAAATAGTTGTTGTTGTCTTTCTTCTGATTTTTGTTGCTGATCCAAATTTACTTTTAGCATTTGGGCAATTACTTTTTGAAAATCTTTCATATTTAGACAAACAAAAATGACAGCGATTTTTTGTTGTTTTGAAACCCGTGTACCAAGGGGAGGTACACAAAAAATCTTGATAGTTTTTTGTTTTCTTTTACACAAAAAAAAATATAGACAGACAATTAGTTAAACTAAACTAATTATGTGTTTAGCTTTTTTGATATTCTGTGGTTCCGTTAATTTTAACGTAATTGTATAAATTTTCACCACAGTTATATATATATTATATATATATATATATATATATATATATATATATATATATATATATTATAGAGGTGCAAAAGAGAAAACTCACCTCAGTGAATTTGAGGGGAGAATAATTATATGCACGAGTTCAACTCAGTTACATAAAAAATAATTTTTTTCGAAAACTTGAGTACAATGGTAGTACTTCGCTCTTATGTTGTCAGTTCGTATTAAGAACAAAACTGATTTTTTTTCTGTGTGTGGGTGTGTAAGAAATCGTTCTCGTAATGTTATTCGGACAGACTTTAATATTCCGTTGATGTCGAATCGCTAGTTCGTCACTGATGTTTGGTATTGGAATATATATTATTATTTTTATATATATAGACGCTGGGTGCTGCGTTTAAATCGCTAATGTAGTAATACCAGCTGAATTTCTCGTTCAACACTGCTGTGGGAACGCGTGGAGTTTCTGTATATTTTTCGAGTACTCTGTCGCTGTTGATATGGTGAGAACGAAATTCTCGAATCTTCCTGTCGCCACTGATGTGGGACTGGTAAGGTATAACGGTTTTCGACGTGAATGCGTTTCTCGAATTCTTCGTCGACACTGATGTGGGGCCAAAGTCGGGACCACAGAAGGAAAACACGGATTAGATATAAGAAAGATATATTAACAACAGGTTACAGAGATAGGGTAAGCTTAGCTTACTATATGTTAGTGTCCAATACTGGTAGTCGTACGCGGCTCTCTCCGACTCTCTG